GGAGCCTTCCCACCCGGGTGGGGTTTCCCCTATAGGGGCTGATCCTATAGCGGCTGCTCTATAGAGCTGCCCCACAGCTTCTGCTATAGGGATTCCTAGAGAGGGACCGCCCTATAGAGACTCCTCCCTGGGGGCCCTCGGCTATAGGCGCCCCTATAGACGCGCCCCTATAGGGTCTCCTGTCGGCGCCTCCCGCCATTTTCATTGTAAGCAAATTCGGCTCTTTTCCCCCCAAAAGAGCAGCAGGGAGCGGCGGCGGCACCATGGCATCGCTTCCCGCCAAAATGACATCATCGCCTCGACGGAACTGAGCTGGTTTCTCCCCAGAAGCCCTTTGAGCCTCAGCGTCGCTTTGCGCTGAGATGACATCATCGGTTTGACGGAGCCAAGCTTGCTTCTCCCCGGGACCCCTCAGGAGCCGGGCTGCCGCCCTGGCATTGCTTCACGCTGAAATGATGTCATCACCTGGACAGAACTGAGCTCTTTTCTCCCCGAAACTGCTTCGAACCCGCGCCGTTCCGTCGCTTCGCACCAAAATGACATCGCCCCCTTGACAGAATCGAGCTGGTCTCACCCCAGAATCTCTCCGAACCCGCGTCGCCGCACCGCGACATCACCTTCCCGCCAAAGCCGCGTCATCGCCTTGACGGAATTGAGCTCTTTTCTCCCCAAAACCTCTTCAAACCCTCCCGACCCCCGCCCGAGCCGAGCCCGACCACTGCCCCCCTCAGATTTCGGGGTGGGGGGGAAACGGCGCCGCCATGTCGGGTACCGACCCCTTGGAGACGCTGCGGGTGGAAGCGAGCTGCTCGGTTTGCCTGGAATACCTGCAAGATCCCGTCATCATCGAATGCGGTCACAATTTCTGCCGCCGTTGCATCACCCGTTGGTGGGCCGAGCTGGCGCGCGATTTTCCCTGCCCCGTCTGTCGCAAAACCTCTCGCCGTCGCGCTCTTCGCCCAAACCGCCAACTCGGTAACATGGTAGAAGCCGCCCGGCAACTTCGCGGCGCCAAACGGAAAGCCGGAGAGGAAAGTCGTTGCCAAACTCACGGCCAAGCCTTGGCGCGGTTCTGTCGCGACGATCAAGCTCCCGTTTGCCTGCTCTGCGAGATCTCCCACGCCCACCGCGCTCACGCCCTCGTCCCTCTCGACGTCGCGGCTCTTGAGTACAAGGTGGGGGGGAAACGGGGGAGCCCGAAACCTTCGCGGCGTCAACGTGGCGCCCCCAAATCTTGTTTTTTAGCCCCAAATTCGACCCCGCGGCTCTTCACGGAGGATTTTCGGCTGTAATTAGTCTCCGCCTCCGTTTTCAGCCCCACGTTCTTCCCCGGGAGCATCCCGTGGGGGGGTTGGCCGTGGTTTGTCCCCGTTTCCAGGTGGGATTTAGCCCCAAACCCTCTCCCTGAGGCCATTTGCGGAGGGAATTTGGGCAGCACCTCGGCCCCATCTCCACGTTTAGCCCCAAACCCCCTCCCTGGGGCTGTTTTTTGGAGGGATTTTGGCCGTGGCCTGTCCCCATCTCCATTTCCAGCTCTCAAACTTCTCCCTGCGCCTGGTTTTTGGTGGGATTTGGGGATTTTTCAGCCTCATTCTTCCCCAGGAGCATCCAGGGAGGGAGCTGGGCGCTGGCTCAGCCCCGTCTCCGGCCCCTCGCGCTGCGGCTCAGCCCCAAACCCCTTCCCCGGGGGCTTCCACGTCGTCGCCATCTGCGCGGCTCTGGCAGAGTTGGGATTCGGGGATGGGGAAGGGATTTGGGGATGGAGTTGGGATTCGGGGCAGGGTGTCCCACCCCGTCCCCCACCCTGCTCTCTCCCCTCCGGCAGGGGAAGCTGCGGCGCTGCCGGGAGCCGCTGGAGCGGAAGCTGGAGGCGGTCGCCAGCTGCCGAGCACGGGAGGAGAAGAAACCGAGCGAGCTGAAGGCAGGGTAACGGTGCCGGGGGGGGCGGG